ATTGGGTAGTCTTGGGGGTTTCTTGGGCAAGATGGTTCAGCTCTCTTGGGCCATTTTGTGGCCCTCTTGATGCCTTTTGGTCGTCCTGGGGCGATCTTTGGGGTATCATGGCCCGTCTTTCTCAACATGAATTCGGAGGGAGGAGGGGCAAAGGCGAGAAGTAGCGAGCGTTTGTCCGTGGCCATTTTGGCCCGAGCGTTCGGCCGCCAACATGACCGTGTCGCGCCGAGACACGCTACCAAGCACCGATACGGAAAGGGTTCCACCGTCCATTCTTGAGATGCTACCCTCCTGCCGCTTGCGCGGCCATCTCTTCTCTCTTGCCGTATCCTTACCGCGATACGACGGACCGAGTAAGTGACTATGTCTGAGGCGCAGTATATGGTCAGGCCTACCACCTCACTTTAAATTCATGAAGGTCGAAACGGCGAGTACGTCGAGAATGGACGCCTCTTGAGGCCCTTTGGGGATCCTTTTGGGGCCATCTTTGGGCATCTTGGGGGGCCCTCTTGGGTCGTCTTGGGGACTTTTCGGGTAGTTTTGAGGCCTTCTCGGAGCTCTCTTAGACCTCGTTGGAACCACCTAGTGGAATTTTAGCGCGTCTGGGAGCATTTCTAAAGCGGGTGAGTCCGTCCGCTAGATCGGGGGGATGGAGGGATTCCCCCCTTGTCCGAACCGGCCAGACCTGGTTCCCGGCGAGGGGTTTAGGATTCAGGCTTGTCAAATGGGGTCCATGTAGATGGGGTCGGATCGCGCCGCATCGCCGATGCATCGGCGATGCGGCTCGATGTGGAGCCCCATTTATCCCATCCCGACGACGCCGATACGTCGCCGACGTCCGCGATGCATGGGCGATGCGTGGGCGATGCGGCGCGATCCTCCGACCCCATCTACTCGGACCCCATGTGGGTGGCCTCCATGGGCAGGGGGCAATTGTCTCACACGCCGAGGAAACGCCAGAGGTCGGCGAACCTGGGTCGCAGAACTTGTTCGTGGCCGGGGCTCGCCAGGGCCAGAGAAGACATCGTTCCTTAATTGGCAATCCCCATGGCAGCGCGACGACTGCAGAACGCGAGCGAAACATTGGCAGAGCTCTCTTGGTTTGCGCTCGGCTGCGCAATTTCGCTCGTCTGTTGTCGAGGAGGCGAGATTGGATTTCGAGAGGCACGCACGCCTGGCTCTCCAAGCCGACGCGCCAGGTTGGCTTTTGCGCGCGAAGATCCCTGCGCATCGCGGGGCGCGATGAGCGAAGTTGGGTGGCCTAGGAGCACACCGATCCTGGCCAGGTCCACCCAGGGCCCGGGAGCGGCGTGTTTAGGGGGCCACATGCGAACCCTACCCCTACCCCCCACGATTTCTGGGGGGGAGGGTGGGGTTCACTTCGCTCGGGAGCTCCCGAACGAAGTGAACCCCACCCTCCCCCCCAGAAATCGTGGGGGGTAGGGGTAGGGTTCGCATGTGGCCCCCTAGTGTTCGCCTCCAGGGACAGGCCAGGAGGGCGTGCTGACCGATCCTGAGCCCAAGACGGGCCTGGCCAGCATCGGTGCGGGCGCACGGCTGGCGCCCTCCAAGCTCTTTGCTTCCGCGGTCACCGCTCCCGGCCGTCACGAGGTAAGCGTTCTCCCTGGTCGACCGGCCAGCGCGCGCGGTGCCCCGAGGGAGCCGACCGCGCCCTCCCCCGGTCTGACTGGGTGGTCTGGGCAGCGCCCGATTCTCCCATCGCGAGTGTGTCTCGAGGCTCCAGGGGCCCATCAGCGGCAGAAAACGTCCGCAAGCCCAGACCCTCGATCCTCCCATCGGTCCCAGACATCAGATCGACGGGGTGGGGATCGAGCAGCAGGTGTGATGGTTGCCCTCGTCATCTCTTGGACGCGCTTGCAACCATCGAGACCCGTTGCGTGCGTTGGGAAACTGGACGTGCAAGCTCAACCGCCTCGTAGAACAAATATGGAGCTCTGCAAAACGTGACAATTACCTGCCGATTTGGCCGTGCTGACATACCTGGCAATCTGTTTAGTTCAATTCGCTGGCTCCCGAGGTCCTGGCTCCCTCCCCGGGCACAGCTTCCGCTCGGGGTCATGTCGGGATGGCCCCTGGGGGCGGCCGAAGGCGGCCGCCAGAGGCCGAAATCGACGGGCAGCCTGGCGAAGGGCCCAACCATATGCAGTTGTGAGAAAAGCAGTTGCGACTATGGCCGTCGGTGGAGCTTCCCATGGGGCCACGAAACGTGTAAGGGGTGTGCCGAAACGGGCGCGGCAGGCGCATGCGAGCGCAGCCCTTAGGACCTTCGGTGGAGCTGTTTATGGAGTCACGAAGCGTGTGAGGGGTGTGCTGACATGGTTGCGGCGGGCGCACGCGAGCGCAGCCATTGAGGCCCTTCGGTGGAGCCCCCTATGGGGCCACGAAGCGTGAGAGGGGTGTGCCGAAGTGGTTGCGGCGGGCGACCGCGAGCGCAGCCACTGGGGCCTTCGGTGGAGCTGCCTATGGGGCCACGAAGCGTGTGAGGGGTGTGCCGAAATGGTTGCGGCGGGCGCATGCGAGTGCAGCCATTGGGGCTTTCGGTGGAGCTGCCTATGGGGCCACGAAGCGTGTGAGGGGTGTACCGAAATTGTTGCGGCGGGCGCGCGCGAGCGCAGCCACTGGGGTCTTCGGTAAAGTTGCCTATGGGGCCACGCAGCGTGTGAGGGGGGTGTTAACATGGTTGCGGCGGGCGCGCGCGCGAGCGCAGCCACTGGGGCCTTCGGTGGAGCTGCCTATGGGGCCACGAGGCGTGTGAGGGATGCGCCGACATGGGTGCGGCGGACGCAATCAACCGCAGTCATTGGGGCCTTCGATGGATTCCTTTATTCGGCCACGAAGCGTGTGAGGGGTGTGCTGACATGGTTGCGGCGGGCGCATGCAAGCTCAGCCACTGGGGCCTTCGGTGGAGCTCCCAATGTGGCCACGAAGCGTGTGAGGGGTGTGCCGAAGTGGTTGCGGCGGGCGCCCGCGAGCGCAGCCACTGGGGCCTTCGGTGGAGCTGCCTATGGGGTCACGAAGCGTGTGAGGGGTGTGCCGAAATGGTTGCGGCGGGCGCATGCGAGTGCAGCCATTGGGGCTTTCGGTGGAGCTGCCTATGGGGCCACGAAGCGTGTGAGGGGTGTACCGAAATTGTTGCGGCGGGCGCGCGCGAGCGCAGCCACTGGGGTCTTCGGTAAAGTTGCCTATGGGGCCACGCAGCGTGTGAGGGGGGTGTTAACATGGTTGCGGCGGGCGCGCGCGCGAGCGCAGCCACTGGGGCCTTCGGTGGAGCTGCCTATGGGGCCACGAGGCGTGTGAGGGATGCGCCGACATGGGTGCGGCGGACGCAATCAACCGCAGTCATTGGGGCCTTCGATGGATTCCTTTATTCGGCCACGAAGCGTGTGAGGGGTGTGCTGACATGGTTGCGGCGGGCGCATGCAAGCTCAGCCACTGGGGCCTTCGGTGGAGCTCCCAATGTGGCCACGAAGCGTGTGAGGGGTGTGCCGAAGTGGTTGCGGCGGGCGCCCGCGAGCGCAGCCACTGGGGCCTTCGGTGGAGCTGCCTATGGGGTCACGAAGCGTGTGAGGGGTGTGCCGAAATGGTTGCGGCGGGCGCATGCGAGTGCAGCCATTGGGGCTTTCGGTGGAGCTGCCTATGGGGCCACGAAGCGTGTGAGGGATGTACCGAAATTGTTGCGGCGGGCGCGCGCGAGCGCAGCCACTGGGGTCTTCGGCAAAGTTGCCTATGGGGCCACGCAGCGTGTGAGGGGTGTGTTAACATGGTTGCGGCGGGCGCGCGCGAGCGCAGCCACTGGAGCCTTCGGTGGAGCTGCCTATGGGGCCACGAAGCGTGTGAGGGATGCGCCGACATGGGTGCGGCGGACGCAATCAACCGCAGTCATTGGGGCCTTCGATGGATTCCTTTATTCGGCCACGAAGCGTGTGAGGGGTGTGCTGACATGGTTGCGGCGGGCGCATGCAAGCTCAGCCACTGAGGCCTTCGGTGGAGCTGCCTATGTGGCCACGAAGCGTGTGAGGGGTGTGCCGAAGTGGTTGCGGCGGGCGCGCGCGAGCGCAGCCATTGAGGCCTTCGGTGGAGCTGCCTATGGGGCCACGAAACGTGTGAGGGGTGTGCCGACATCGTTGCAGAGGGCACATGCGAGCGCAGCCACTGAGGCCTTTGGTTGGGGCCACGAAACGTGTGAGTGGCGTGCCGAAATGGTTGCGGCGGGCGCATGCGAGCGCAGCCACTGGGGCCTTCGGAAATGGGTCCGGGGGGCACATGCGAGCGCAGCCAAGGGGGCTTTGGGGCCTTCGATGGAGCTGCTTGCGGGGCCACGAAACGTGTGAGGTGTGTGTGTGTGTGTGTGTGTCGAAATGAGTTCGGCGGGCGCACGCGAGCGCAGCCACTGGGGCCTTCGGTGGAGCTCCCTAAGGGGCCACGAAACGTGTGAGGGGTGTGCCGACATGGTTGCGGCGGGCGCGCGCGAGCGCAGCCACTGGGGCCTTCGGTGGAGCTGCCGATGGGGCTACGAAGCGTGTGAGGGGTGCGCCGACATAAATGCGGCGGGCGCATGCGAGCGCAGCCACTGGGGCCTTCGGTGGAGCTGCCGGTGGGGCTGCCGAAATGGTTGCGGAGGGCGCGCGCGAGCGCAGCCACTTGGGCTTTCGGTGGAGCTGCCTATGGGGCCACGATATGGGGCCACGAAACGTGTGAGGGGTGTGTCGAAGTGGTTGACCAGTGCGGAGGGCAGTGGCAAGGAAGGGGAGGAGGAGGAGGAGGAGGAGGAGGAGGAGGAGGAGAGGACAGGGCAGGACAGGGCAGGACAGGACAGCGCAGGACCGGGCAGGACAGGGCAGGACAGGACAGGACAGGACAGAGGGACGCGGGGCGCTGTCTCTTCCAAACGAGGACCCTACACCACCTGGTGGTTGGGAAAAAGCACCAGGATTGAGAAAGCAACCCCTCGGACGCTTGGGCCCCGACCCGGCGCCCAGGCAACCTCGTCTGCGCCCCTGGCCGCCAGTGCAAGGGCGCGGGCCCTGGCGGCGCCAACCCCCCGCCGCAGAACACGCAGGCGATGACGGATGCGCTGAAGGCCGCGGCGCGCGGGGTGCGGACCTCATCCTCTTCTCTTCTTCTGTCTGCTTCCCGCTCCCTCTCCCCCTCTCCGTGGCCGCGCAGCCTAACAGTGCGTGACGCCACCTGCGCTTGGGCTGGCGGTCCTTTCGGCACAGGCATCGTCCATCGAGGTTCAATGGCGACAGGCAGCTCCGATGGTGTCTCGCGCCTGCCCCACGGTCGAGCTTGATCAGCAAGTCGATCCTGCCAGATCAGGGGTGCGCACTGCGCATCGCGACTCCTCGTGTCCCCTGCCTTCCAGGGCACGGGCATCGGCAACGCATGGCGTCGGTGGTCAGGGCGGGCCGGCCCAGGAGCCAGTGGGGGACGACCCCACCATGCATCCTTCGTTCGTGGTGGTGGATCGAGAGTCCAAGGAGCGTCGAGAAGCATCCGAGGAGGTTCAAGGCCGGACGAGGGGTCGAGGAGGGCTGGAAGCTCGGGCTCGTATCCTGGACCACGATGTCCTCCTGTTGGGGCCTCCTGGGGAATCCTGGACGCATCTTGGGGCCCTCTTGAAGCGCTCTTGGGAGCCGTGGGAGCGCTCTTGGAGCTCTCTTGGGCCATCTCGGAGCCATCTTGAGGCCTCGGCGAGAAAGCCAAAAACATGGACTTGCCCAAGGTTTTGGAAGGATTTGGGCCTCTTCGGGGCCTCCTGGGGAGCTCTTTGGCCACCCCTCTTGGGGCCCCTCTTGGGGCACCCTCGGTTCCACTCCCGGTCGAGCTCGACAGTGCGAAGGGTTCGGGGAGGCCGTGGCCTCGGCCGTGCTGGGCTGCCGCGTCGCCCCCGAGGGAGGCACTCTTTTCAGTGGGGGAGCCCTCCCTCGAGGGTGTTTTTTACACTCCCTGGGCCATCACGCGCGTTGTGCCCCCCCCGTCCCCGCTCCCCATGGCGTAACGCTCTCCCGCCCACCCCCGTGCGTCCCCGGCACTGCCGCAGTGCGGCCGGCACCACAGTCTGTCGCAGTGGGGGGCGGGGGCGTTGCGTTATGCCCTCCCCCGACCCCCTCGCCTCCCCCCCCCCATAACGCAAGTGATCACCGCCAATAAGAAATGCTCTCCTGCTCCTCCTCCTCCTCCTCCTCCTCCTCCTCCTCCTCCTCCTCCTCCTCATCATCATCATCATCATCATCATCATCATCATCATCATCTCATCCTCATCATCCTCATCATCTCATCATCCTCATCCTCATCCTCATCCTCATCCTTATCCTCCTCCTCCTCCTCCTCCTCCTCCATCCTCCTCTCCCTCTCCTCCTCCCTCCTCCCTCCTCCTCCTCCTCCTCCTCCTCCGTCCACCTCCTCCTCCTCCTCCTCCTCCTCCTCCTCCTCCTCCTCTTCCTCCTCATCCTCCTTCTCCTCCTCGTCCTCGCCCTCCTCCTCATCCTTCTCCTCCTCCTCCCACTCCTTCTAGCCATCCTTTTGTTGACCTTCAGGGGGGCACCTCGTCACCAGGCACGGCTGGACGCAGCTCTCAGGCGATCGCAAACATGGATCAAGGGGGCGTGGATTAGCGACGGGTCCCGTTTCCATGGGAAATCGCGGATTTCCGAAGCCGGGCGAGGCGGCACCAGCCGCTTTTTGGGGAGGGCACCTCCCCCGATGCATGGATTTGGCGACCGCGCGCCAAATCTATGGATCGCTAACCCATGTTTGCGCGCCCCCGAAGCTCGAGAAATGGGCCAGGATGACCACGTGGAGGTTTGCCGCCTCGCGCCCCTCAGCCAGTTCGCGCCTGTGCTGGGGCGCCAGTGCCCCTCGTCCTGCTCTTTTCCGCTGGGTTCCGAGCGTGGCGAGGCCCGTTTTCCATGTTCTCCCGGCAGTGTTGGTTGTATGCTTTTTGGCTGACCATGCCACCAGGGGTGCAAAAACCGACGCCAGGGGTAGATGCATGACAGCATATTGTTTCGTTGTTTCTTCTCTCTCTCTTTTTCTCCTCCTCCTCCTTCTCCTCCTCCGTTGCATCGGGTGTGTGTTGATAGAAATGGTTGGCCAAGCCATCGGGGATGTCCACACAACGCATTTGTCTATTCCCTCTCCTCGTCCCTCTCCTGGTCCTCCTTTGCTCCTTCTTCCTCCTTCCCCCCTCCTTTCTCAGCGGAGTTGCGACATGTATGGATCAGGGCCTGTTCACTAAAGGTTTGCCCCCAGGGCTGTTCACTCGATGTTTACTCCCAGTGGTGTAGCATACAGTCCTGTCGTGCGGCGGGTTGAGGTTTGAGGTGGCTGGAGGTTTCGTCATGCTGTCCGCTTCCATCTTCTCCCTCCACAAGAAATGCGAAGGTCCGAGGACCGATTCTGAGCTGATTTCCGTCGACGTCGTCGTTGTCGTCCAGGAGGAGGATCGAGCAATTCGATCGGAATGTCTTTCGCAATTTTCGGCGTCGAATGGGGCCGCTTCGGGCCCTTGGGCTTTCTGGAATGGATTCGAGGTGGGGAAAAGCTGGGCAGGATGGACCCTGGGACCCTGGGATTGGTCCGAGGACCTATTCTGCAAGTTCTTGTAATTTTTCAAGCGTGTTGGTTTCAATGTTGCTTTGTGTGATCAGCCTTTCGGGGGGTGCGCTCCTGGTTCTGCATCAGGAACGTCAGCTACTTCGCACGACCCACGAGGGAGCCTGAGGCCACCATCGCCGCTCACGAAGGTGATCACCATCTGAATTTGCATCCTCCTTCAGTCCTCCGCGGCCGCTTCTCTTCCCCGAACGCAGTTAGACATTGTGCAGCCCGCCCTAGCCCAACCGCCCCGAACCGCTTTGACGCTGAGTGCGAACAAAGAATACCTAAGAATACGTAGACACCTTTCGAGGGTTCCCGGCTGTATGCCTCCAGAGACCTCTGGGCGCCGCCGCTGCCTTATCCGCACCTCGGCGGCGCCATAGGCCGCTTCTTGCGTTTACCATCTCCTGGGCGACGTGGGCGGCGGTCCACAGCTTGGGAGGCCTCCGCGCCCATATATTTCACGCAGGATCGCGATTAAGAACTGCTTGGGTGGGGGGCGTGACGCAGCCGCGTCCTTGACGATGATTCATGACTTGGGTTCCAGGCCCGCTCGCAATCGTCGTCGTCATTGGGGTTTTCTGGTCTTCCCAGCGGCAGACACTATTTGCTATACCCTTGCCCCCCCCGAGTGCGTCTTGGTCGTCATCCTGCATGACGTCCTCCGCCACGATGGGTCCACACGTAGTCCATCTTCGTCGGGTCCGTCCGCTTCGTTCTTGGCAGCAGTGGCTCACCGCTGTGCATCTGTCCCAAGAGTGTGGCCACCTGCAGCTTGAGGACATTTTGCCCTGCTGGCGTTGTTGATCCTCCTCTGCGGGCCAAGCCAGGTGGGGTGAGCATCTCGAGGAACAAACGACGGCATACATGTAAATCGTTGGAGGTCCGCGCACACCGATCCAAGAAATCTGCGCGGACCTCTGAATGTGTTATGTTTGTGCAGGTCTGTGCCTCCTGGTCCCGGGCATGCCTGCCTTCTGTTCTGCATCCTTTGGCCAATGGCGCCCCTAATTATCGTGGCGCGTTCTGGGCGCCCTGCATCCTGAGGTCCCGCGAACGGTTTTTGTCTCCAGAGCTTTGGCCGAATGGCCCAGGCTGTTGAAGGCGCGTGGCCCAGGGACCTCCAGCGTTGGCAAGGTCGGGCGGGTGCGGTCGCACCCGCTCCTCGCTGCCCACGTGCGCCGCCCCTTCGTCGCACCACCAGGCGTGTCGATTGGGCGGGCTGGTCGTTTCGCACAGTTGCGCGGCAGTCGGGCCATCTCCGCTCTTGCACTTCCGTGATTGGATCCGAGGTATCTCATCGGGTTCTCCCCATTCCAGCGGGCGGTCGCCGCCGAGAAAGGGAGTCCCCACGCAAGCTTTTGACAAGGAGACTGAAGGCGGGAGGGTGCATTGCAGCTCCGCTGTTGCGCGCTGGGTCTATATTGGTCCTAGTTCTTTCCTCCCCGTCCCCCCTGCACCTCCTCGTCGTTCTCTGCGTTCACTTCTTGCTGCTGCTGCTCCTCCTCGAGCCCATATAATCCCGCATAACAATTTCAAACCCCTCGGGATGCTCCCAAAACTTCCTGCTTCACGGTTCGTCCCCCTCCTTCTTTTTTCCTTCGTTAGACGGTCAAATTCTTGCAAACCTTCCAGAATTATTGTTTTTCTCCCTCCCCCATCCCTTCCCGCCACTCCTTCCCCCTCAACACCGATCGCCACCGTCGTCGGCGTCGTCGTCGTCGGTTGCCGCTTCGGCGTCGGCGGCTTCGGCGGTGCTGCCTCCGTCGTCGCTCTCGCCGCAGTCGGCGACGCCGACGACGACGGCGGCGGCGACAGCGCCGTTTACGGCGCCGTCGTTGTCGGCGCCGTCGCCGTCCTTCGCTCGAGTGCGGCCTTGCTTCTCTGCTCGCAGGCGGAGGCCATCGCGGCACAGCAGCTCGGCAGCCTCATGCCGCGGGGGTTCAGCAGCGGCCCGTTGGGAGCGCCTCGGTCGTGGTCGCCGCCGCCGCCGCGCGCGAACCGTCGTCGTCGCCCCGCGCGCGCGTCGGTGAACCCCAGCTGATCCAAAAACGCTCAAAATGGAGGTCCGGCCTCCATCCTGTAGCCGTGTTCCCCCCCCCCTTCTGAAAGCTCTTCGCCTCCAGAACGGAGGGCTCTTCTGGAAGCTGCATGGAGCCAAGATGAGGTCGCGCCGTGTCGACGCGGCGGCGACCCCGCCGCGAGCGTTCGGGATCGAGCGCCGCCGGTGGCCCGGGATCGGCCAGGATGGAGCGACCTGGCCATCGGGCAGCCGCTGGTCCTTTTTCAGGAGCCAGCGCTGAGGGCCCACTCAGCGAGTCTCGCCTACTTGGGCAACCCACTCAGCGCTGGTCCTTTTTCAGGAACCAGCGCCCAGGGCCTCACGACACGATCCCACCGTACGTGGTGGCTCGACTTCGTAGCCAGGTTCGCAGAAGCTCGCTGAGTGGGTTGCCCAAGTAAGGCGAGGCTCGCTTACCACGTTTGAAGCGGAGATAGGCCGGCTGCAGCGAACCAGTTTGCAAAGAGCTTATCACCAACTATGGACAACGTTGCCAGGGCACCCGAATTGACAGAGCCCGTACAGCTGAACCTACTCAACAGCTTATGTGGTAATCATTTTGGACCTAGTTTTGCATGTGATGCTCGATCGTATGTTCTTTCCACTTCGCCAAGCGCGCGCCCCGCTTCGTTGAAGTTTCCGAAAGCCTCTGGAGACCTCCGCGAAGGCCTCTGCAGAATTGGCAGACCACCAGAGCCCAGACCTCTGGTGGATCGATGCTTCAATCCTGGCCGCCTGTCGTCATTCTCGGCCGCCGGGGAGCTATTCTCAAGCCCAGGGCCATGGAGCTGAGACGAAAGGTGTCTCCCTTGAAGGGGTCGAGACCACTGGGAGCCAGCACACTGGGAGCATCAATGCGTCAGAAGTCTGGGTAGAGTCACTGATCTCGAGGGGATCTCGGAAGCTTTCCGGAAATTTCTCGGAAATGTCCCGCAAGTTTTAAGAACATTCCCAGAAGCTCACATATAGCCTAGCGAGCCTCTTAGAGGTCTAATGGAAGCTGTTCGGCAGGCTCACAGAAGCCTCTCGGAAGCCTCTCGGACATCCATGATAAGTTTCTCGGAAGCTCTTCGGAAGCCTTTTGGATGCCTTTCGGACGCCCTCCAGAGGCCTCCCGGACTCCCGAAGCCTACCGGACTTCTCTCGGAACCCGAAACATTTCGGAAGCTTCCCGGCATCTCAGAAGCCTCTGGGGACATTCTCAACAGTTTCTCGGAATCCAATCGAGAATCAATCAACAGTTACCGAGGGGATCTGGATATTTGGTTGATACTTCATGTGTTGATGCAATTATTAGTTACGTTGCAGATGGGTGAGAGGGTACTCCCCTGCGCAACCCCTCATGGAGTCGAGGAAGTGCCATGCGTGCCACGCCCTGGAAGCTTGAGACGTATCAGAGAACGACCTCTTTTCCTGGTGTCGAGGACATGCCCCGCATGCCACGCCCTTGGAGCCTGAGACGGAAAGGGGGACCACCCGGTGTCTACCCCTTCTGGTGTCGAGGAAGTGCCCTGCATGTCACGCCCGTGGAGACCGAGACGGTTTTTCGTCGTTGAGGGAATTTTGTGTCTGCCATGCCTGCCCCCCCCTCAACACCTGGTGTCGAGGAACTGCATCAATACACCGGATGTGCGCTAAGATGTGGACATATGTTTGACGTGTGTGTGTGTGTGTGTCTGTGTGTGTGTGTGTGTGTGTGTGGGGGGTGAATTCGTATCTTTGTGTGTGTGAGTGCGTATGTGTGTATGTGTGTGCGTGTGTAAATGTGTGTGTGTGTGCGTGCGTGCATGTGTGTGTGCGTTTGTGAGCGTGTGTGTGTGTGGGTTCGTGTGTGTGTGTGTGTGTGTCTGTCTGTCTGTCTGTATGTATGTATGTATGTGTGTGTGTGTCTGTGCGTACGTGTCCGTTTGTGTGTGTGTGTGTGTGTCAGTGGTTGTATGTGTGTGTACATGTATGTGTGTTTGTGTGTCTGTGTGTCTGTGTGTACGTATATGTACGTGCGTGCGTGCGTGTGCGTGTCTATGTGTGTATGTGTCTGTGTGTCCATGTGTTTATATGTTAAACTGTGTGTGCGTGTGTTTGTTTGTTTGTTGATTTGTTTTTCTGTTTGTTCGTGTTGTTTTATGTGTCTGTGCTTGTGAGTGTGTGTGTGTGTATGTGTGCGCGCCGCGACTTTACGAGTCTACGCAGTGGTGGTGTGTGCCCGTGTGCGTGTCTTTTGTGTGTAGATGTAAGGTGGAAGGTGGGTGAGACGCAGGTGGGAAGAAAGCCATAGCCCCATGTAGCATGTGGGAATCGATCTAGATGTACACATCTATGTTATAAACTTTTCGGACGCTTCTCGGAAGCCTCTCGGATGCCTCTTGGCAGACCTCCGACAGCTTCTCGGAAACTGATTGGAAGCCCCTCGAAAGCCCATTAGAAGTTTCCAGAAGCCTCAGAAGCCTGTCAGAAGCCCCCCAGAAGCCTCCCCTCAGAACCCTTGTCAGAATCCTGCGGGAATCCTCTCGGAAGCCCCCAAATCTCACTGAAACATTTTTCGGATGTTTTTTCGGAAGTTCGCAACAAGTTTTCCGGTAGTCGTTCAGAAACCTCTCGGAAGTTTTTAGGAAATTTGCCAGAAGTTTCCACAAGCTTCTCGGAAGCCTTTCGGAAGCCCTTCAGGAGCCTGTCTGTTTGGCGTTTGGGAGTCGGGAATTGGTGGTTGAGGCTTGGTGTTTGGGGTTTGAGGCTTGGGGATGGGGGGTGGCGTTGAGGGTTGGGGGTCGGAGTTTGGAGTTTGCTGCATGGTGTTTGGGGTCTCAGGGTCGCTGTTTGCTCTTTGCCGTCTCGCTCCTGGTGCAGCCTGGACCGGCTCTCCACAGGCTGGAATCAGACCAGGTAGGCCAGAGTTCGGACCCCTTGGCCAGAACTGGACCCCTTTCCGACAGAGAGACCCCCGGAGTGCGCATTTCAGGACAAATCGCTCCCGAGCGCTTCGGAGCGTGCTCGGAGCGTCTCGGAGCGCTTTTTTGAGCGGCCGTGCGTCCGTCAGACCCGCTGGCTCTCGGAGGTTCCTGATTTCCGGAGGCCTATAGAGGTTGGCACCAGCACCAACATCGGCGGTGTGCCTCCATCGAGGGCAGGTGATCCCAACCTCGGTGATGGTAGTAAGATTCGTGCCTCCGAGGTGGCCGAAATCTCACCACCATCACCCAACTCTAGGATCATCTTTCTGGGATCATCTTCCCCCAATGGAGGCAACCCCCTGTTTTGGTGTTGGTGACCGTGTGTGTTCGCATCCTGCCTTCGACACGTCTCTGGGCCGCCCCCCCCCCCTCCCCGCGGCCGCCGCAGCGGCGGCTGCCGCCGAGGCCACAGCGGCGGCCTGCGTGGCCGCCACAGCCGCGTGATGTGCTTATATCCTCTGGCGCTAAAGGGCCTGTACCCGGGACAGACCCCTCCCTCCTGCCCCCTCCCCCGGTACCGAGCGTACGCGGGGGGGGGGAAGGCCTGGAGCCCCCACCCCCTTTTCGGTGCTCGCGCGCAACATATGGCGATCGCATCGCACCCCTGTCCCGACGTGTCCCACCCTGCCCAAGCGTTTTTCTGTCCATTTTGAACCGGATTCGCTGTCGGTGTCGCCGCGGACGTTGTCCATTTGAGACAGAAGGCCGCTTGCCCAGCAGCGGCCGCTGCGGTTTTGGGATAGCATTTGTTGTTTGGTATCGTACGTGCATATTCTCGTCTGTACCAAATTCGGGCGTCCAAACAGATGGGGTCCGAGGAGATGGTGTCGGAGGATCGCGCCGCAACGCCGATGCATCGGCGATATGGCCCGATGCGGATGCCGATTTTCTCCTCGCCGACGTGTCCGATGCATCGCCGACGTCGCCGTTGCATCGCCGATGCGTCGGCGATGCATCGGCGATACATCGGCGATACGGCGCGATAAACCCAAGGCGCATCCACGATGTTGTAATAAACCTTCCCTCTTCATAGGTCTCTACAAGAATTTATTCTCACTGCTGGATGTGCCCCGTTGAAAGACAACCGCCTGAGAACCCCCAATCGTGACAAAACACAACTCTTTGGTCTTCAACGCCGCGAATCAGCAGTATTGTTGCGTCCTGACGATCCTGCATCCTGCCAGAGCACCATTCCCATGACTTCAACATCGCGAATCAACGTGATCGTTGCGCTTCGACAACCGTAAATCGTGCTGGAGCACCAATGATGGGACGTCAAACATCCGTTTGACGGCTGTAAGCTTTTAAGACGAAAATGCGCGGCGCTAAGGCGAGAGCTACATTTTGAAAAAGATCCGCCTTCCATCCGGGAATGTCATGCAATTCATGAAGACGAATGTGCGCCCACCCATCTTCCATCCGCGAAATTCTTACACATTTCTAGGACGAATGTGCGCGGTGCTAAGGCGAGAGCCACATGTTGAAGAGGGTCCGCCTTTCATCCGCGAAGCTGCTGCAAACTTTCAAGAAAAATGTGAGATCGCTGCAAACCGTTAAGACGAATGTCCGCGGCGCTATGGCGAGAGCCACATGTTGAAAGCGGCCCGCCCTCCACCCGTGAACCTGTTGCAATCGGTTAGCTTCAGAATCATAAGTGGTGAGGAAGTCTCGGGCGAAACGCCCGGCCCGCCCGACAAGCACGTCTCAGCGGAGGAGGAGGAGAGGGAGGAGGAGGAGGAGGAGGAGGAGGAGGAGGAGGAGGAGGGAGGAGGAGGAGGAGGAGGAGGAGGAGGAGGAGGAGGAGGCGGAGGAGGAGGAGGAGGGGGAGGAGGGGGGGAGGGGGGGAGGGGCAGGAGCAGGAGCAGGAGCAGGAGGGAGGCGGAGGAGGGGGGGGGGGATGGGGGGAGGAGGCGGAGGAGGCGGAGGCACAGGAGGAGCAGCCCCGCCCCTCGAGCTCTCTGCCCGGGGGCGGCTCGGCCGGCAGCCGCGGGCGCCTTGCCACAAAATGGCGAGGGCCGCGGGCCGCCCCGCGCGGCGGCGGCGCCCCTCCGCGGCCCTCGCGCGCGCCGCCTGCGGCGGCGGCGCCCTGCTCTCGGCGCCGCGCCTGTGGCCCCTCGCGCGGGCCGCCGTGGCCCCCGCCGCGAGGGGCGGGCCACCAGACGAGGGGGGGCGTGCGGCTCGAGTCGCCCTCGGAGGGTCGAGGTCGTCCGTGCTGGCGGGCGGACCTCCGTGCCGGTGGCAGAGGCCGAGGAGCAATTTTTGGTCGGCGGGGCGAGAGCGAACCTCTTCCGCTAAAAGCTAGGCGGGCTACGCACAGCTCTGATTGGGGAGACAGGGCACAGGCGGGCGGGGCCTCAGGCGGCTGGAGAGGGCGGAGCCCGGGGTGCAGGCGGTGCCGAAGAGCTTGCACAGGAAAAGGTACGCCGCGGACAGGAGCCGGAGGCGAAAGAAGCCGAGGAACAAGACGTGAGATAAGCATCTGTTTTCGGCGCTCCGCGCGGACGTCCATTCTGGGGGTCGGACCTCCATTCGGGGGCAACGTTAGGGGGGGTAGGCTTGGGGGGGGATGCAGCGACATCGACCCCCAATCGTTCACTGATCGCCAAGGGGGGCCCGATAGCCCACCCCGCCCAGGACCGTGCCGATTTGGCATTCCAGGTCGATGCTTCCCCCTGAGCCAGCCGTCCCCCTTTGGTTCGGCCTCACCCATGCTGGAGGGAAAGAGCCTCCGGGACAGAAGGGGAGGAGGAGGAGGAGGAGGAGGAGGTGAGGAGGAGGAGGAGGAGGAGGAGGAGGAGGAGGAGGAGGAGGAGGAGGAGGAGGAGGAGGAGGAGGGAAGAGGAGGAGGGGGGGGAAGAGGAGGAGGAGGATCGAGAACAGAGGCTGGACCTCTGCTCCGAAGGTTTTTGAGCCTCGGGGCTGTCGGCGCTCGGCGCTGGCAGCCCTGCCTGCGGGCAGCCTCGCGGCCGTGGAGCGGCCTCGAGGCCCCCGGGCCTCTCCCGAGGCGCGTCCTGGCCAGGATTTCGCGGAGAACCCAGCCGTGGTGACGAGAGCTCTCCAGGAGCCAGGAGGAGAAAAAACACACAGACACAATTAATCCCCGATTCCCCAGAAGATGTAGGAAAATATGGGAAGTGGGGGGGGGGAGACAGAAACCCAGAAAGTATAGGAAAGATAGGAAATAATGTTATTTGTGTGTATCTATTTGTGTGTCCCAGGGCCCCTTCAAGGAGGAGCAGCGGCGTCGCATCGGCTTCACCCAAGCATGCTCATGCTGTGTGTGCGCCGCCCCCAAAAAGGGACGATGCGCGAGCTCAGACATCTTGTAGCATCAGCTCGGCGGCGTTCGCTGCCTGGCGATGCCGCCTGGGCAATGGTGCAGCGACTACGACAGCATGCCTGTACTAGATGCTCGGTTCGGACGTGCGCCTCCCAGGGGGGGGTCGAAGAGTGCTGGCATGTCCGTCCTGCGGCCCATCGCACTCGCCCGGCAGGGCGCCGCGAGCCTCACGCCTCCCCGAGCCGGCAGCGGGGAGGCTCCGCGCCAGGCGCCGCTGCGCGGGTGCCGCCCCGTTGGGCGCGGGGGGCGCGGGAGGTGCGCGGGCGGCGTCGGGGGAGCTGCGGGCGCTGCTGCGCCTGGCGGCGCCGATGGGCCTGGTGCAGCTGGGGCTGGTGGCGCTGCGCCTCCCAGGGGGCAGCGTCAGGGGGGGGTGCGGCGGCAAGTCCTGGGAGCCGTGCCTGTCCTCGGAGCCCCATTTCTGGAGTGCATTGGCGTGCGCTCGTGTGCGCTGGCGTCTGGTAAGTGACGAGACGGCGCCGATGTGGCGTCGATTCAGCGTCCATGAGCGTCCGCTAGCGTCTGTCACCGTCGGCTCGCCAGAGCCAGCAAGATGGCATGGAAGGCTCCCACGAGTTGCCACCGAAGGGGGGGGGATGGTCTCAACGGGGAGCGCATCGGCCCCCCATCGCCCCCTCATCGCCGATGGGGGCCTGATGGCCCCCACCTCGCCCTGAGAGCGATGGGTTGGGCAATCAGGGGCCCGTCGCCGGCCTATCGCTGGGCATCGCTTCGGACGTGTGCATGTTTCCTTCGGCGAGGACCATCGAGGAGCATCCTTGATCATTTGGCGAAAAAGCCACGCACGAAACCGCACAGAACACAGGGGAACCGACGTCCGAGCGAGGGCGAGCTCGGCGACGCCTCGCCGATCCCGGCCCGAGGTGGCGCTGGGCCTGGTGGACACGCTGATGGTGGGCCGCATCTCGGAGAGCGGGCGCTCGGCACGGGCACAGACTCTCGGAGGCCGGCGCGGGCTTCTCCTGGGTGTCGGCGCCAGGGCCCCGCGCTTCCCAGCGCCTCCGGCGCCGCCTCTGGTCAAACGGCGCGAAGATCGGGACGAAATCGGATCGGGACAACTCGAAATCTCTGAGAATCCGCGGGTTCGGAGGATGTGTTGGGCGCCGCGGCCGCTCCAGAGCGTTCCGGAACGCTCTGAGAGCGCTCCGGAACGCTTTGGAGCGATTTATCCCGATCCTAGCCCTGTTTTATCTGGCGCGCTCCGCGCGTCAGTCCAAGAGATCCGCACGGAGCTCCGAAAGTTTGCGTGTTGTGCCGGGCTCCGCCCTTCCGGCATCAGCGCAGAGGCCCGGGACGAGCGAATGGGGTACGGGAAGGATGGGCACACAGACCCACAGCATGTCTGGTTCATTTTGAGCAGGACTTGCTACCGGTGTCGCCGCGAACGTTGTCAATGTTCTTGGATTGCTCCTTGAGAGCTAACTAGGGTTTAAGGGAATGAGCTGGCAGGCAAGGATATTCCCAGAGATCGTTCTGGCTTCCGTCAATACATGTTGCAGCGGCTTGCTTGAACCTGCAGCGTGTCCCGAAAGTCCTTTTTTCACTGCTTCCCAATACGTGTGCCGTCAAGCTTTCCAGAAGCTCTTTCCCAGAGCTGCCAGAGCTCCTTCGAAGGACCTTGAGGAAGCTTCTGTCGCCCCGCTATCCGGGTTTTGGACAGCACAAGTGAGCCAGAAGGCCACCTGCCCAATAGCGGCCGTTGTGGGTTGTGGGCGACGATTGTTGTTGGGCACTGCCAATTTTTTCCGTACTCATGTCGGGCGTCCAGACAGGCCCTGGGAGGGGTCGCCCTGGGGAATTACTGGAAGTTCTTCTGGGTGACGTTCGGCCAGGGGTGCCTCGTGGCGCTCGACGGCCTCATCAGCCGCGCCGTGGGCGCCGGGGACCGCGAGGGCGTCGGCGCCGGTCTGACCGGTGGCCAGGAGCAGCGTTGATGTCTCGTCGTCCTCCTCCTCCTCCTCCTCCTCCTCCTCCTCCTCCTACGTTTCTACGTTTCTCGCTATGCAGCGTCTTGTCGCGCGCCCCGCGGGCGCGGAGCGCTCTGCAGCGGCCCTCCAGGGCCGTGCGGGCACTCAGACAGCGGCCCCGGGAACCCGACCCCGAGGAAAGCAGGGAGCCAGGGACCAAATAATCACAGAGAAGGGAGAAGGGGGGCCGGGTTTCAGCAAAACTAAAAAGATGAGGGCCCGTCTGGGCCCTCAGCGGGCGCCGCGCTCGCCCGTGCCAGCTCAGCCAGCTCGGCGCGCAGCCAGGCCTTCGGCCTCTTTGTGGGCGGTCGGCCTCTTGTGTGGCGGCTGGGCTCCCTTCGGCGCCTCGCGCTGAGCCCAGCCGCCAGATCATCAGATGGATGGCCGCCTTCTCTGCGGCGGCCTCCACCCTTCGGCGCTTAGCGCTGTGGAGGCCCGCCGAGCCTCTCTTGGACTCCGGCGGCTCTGCAGCAATCTCCTCGCCTGCCACGCGAGGGCGGTGGGGAGACACCCTTCGGCGCCAGGCGCTGTGTCTCCCTCACCGCGGGGCAGGCTGCCCCTTCTGGTCGAGTACTCCATGGCTTGTAATTCTCCATGGTGACTGACGCTGTATACTTCCAGTACTGCCTGACGTTGCAGAGCTGCTCCATGTAGAGCTTGCGCTTGTAGGGCTCCATGTAGAGCTGCGGTGCTGCCGTCGTCAGTCATGACCCCCCTGCTTTTGAGGTGCAGGGGGGTGCTGATCACGGATGTTGTAGATGTCGATGTATGGGGGCTGAGTGCAAGATGTGGAGCGAGTTGGACGGTCGTTGGGGGTCGGTTCGTTGCTGGTGTTGTGTTGGTTGTGGGCTCCCAAGGCCTCCATGCACCGACTTCAAGTGGGGGTCCTTGCTGTCCCACCTCGTCCCGCTATGGCTAGGGGTCACGGTGCCCTCGGTGGGGGCGAACCCCAGGCCTGGTACTTGTTATCGTCGGAGTGGGGTGTCTCGGCTGTCCAGCTTCGCCCTCGGGCGATCGGGTAGCTCCTCCTTCTCCATGGGAATGGTGGGGGTGGCGAGCTAGGGCGGACCGCGGGGGCGCAGGTAGTGGCCGTCCTACCCCCCCCCTGCCCCTCACCATCCCCGCTGGCGGGCGCGGGAAGTACTCGTCCTTCCCCCCCAGCCCTTCGAGCCCGTCTCGAAGTTTGATCCTCACCAGGACAGCGTTGACTTGGCAGGAGTTGTGTGGGGTCGTGCTGGGTATGCTGTCGATGTCGGTCGGTGGTACGCTGGCGGCCAATGGGCCGCCCGCTGCCAGCCAGCTGGCGCCATCCAAATTGTAGATATCCAGTCGCCGCCGGGGTACACAACAAAACGTGGCGACTTGTGCCTGGGGTGTTCCCTCGCATTCGGGGCTTCCCCAGGACTTGCGTTCTAACCATAGCAAAACTTGGCGACGCTGCCTGAGGTCTTCCCACGCATTCGGGGCTTCCTCAGGACTTAAGCAGCACACCGTAATGCCTTGTCCAGGGCGCAAGATAATCATAGAAATAAATGCCAATGTTAGGAAAGTCGCTAAATCCAGAAAGTGCTCGAGGGGGGGGCACGCTCCGTCGCCATTGAGGGATCGTGCCCACCCGTATGGGCGCTACGGGTCCCCCCCCCTCGAGTGTGGCACGCAATCGTTGTCCAGGTCGCAGCCGTGCCAGTAACCCAGTAGCAACGGGGTATTGGGCCATGCAGTAGGTGCGCTGATGCTGACACGTCTGCTGCCAATCTGAAATACTCTGTATACAATATTGTAATGCCAGCTGCCCTCAAATCTGTAGCAGGCCGGTGGTCTGCGCCAAACTGCAGACCAATGTTCCCTTCAGGGGCTGAAGTATATAATACTGAACGCTTGACTCGACTAACTGCACCAAATAATGTAGTGCCGCTGCAGTGCCAGCTGCTAGCGCCGATGGTTGCCCCATGCCCTGTGACAGTCATGGCCGAGCTGCTCTGGCTCAATGTAGTAATCCAAGGGGGCGTAGAACCTGTGGTAGCATTCATCCGTTTCGGCCCACATTGCCTCTTCGTCAGCAAGCTGCCCCCAGTGGGCTGCGAAAGCGGTAGCCATTGCCTTGCACAGCCTTGATGGATACTCTTTGAGGGGGGCGGTCCTCCAGCCGCCTTGGCCGTCTCGTCCGTAAGCTCTGGCATGTCCCGTATGTCGGCATATCTGTCCCCCAGGTACCGCCCTTAGCTCCTGTGCGAGTTCACCGAGGTGTGCCGCCATCAGACATGTTGGTTTTCTCGCAGCCTGCCCGAACTGGCACTGGTCTATGTAGTGAAGTTCGACGCCCGTCTGCTCCAGGAGCCAGAGTGTCTCTGCTCGCTGCCAGCTGCTAGGCGCTTGAGGGCACCAGGTGGCTGGGGCGGGATGCTCGAGTACGGCTGAAACGTTGTACTGCAGGCCCGTGGTGATGAGTAGTAAAGCTGTCCTGTATAGCTCGTTGGCTAGTGCGATCTGTTGATGCTCCGCTTGACTAGCTGCTTGTATGCCCCAGGGGGATTCATGTGTACGTAGTGGTCGCGGTGCATTCCCCTCGGCGGCATGCCAGCGCGATGAGCACCACGTCTCGCAGGGCGGGCCCGCCACAATGCCAAATATTTTGCCCTGTCGTATCGCTGCGCACCAAAACTCGACGACGTCTGGCTTCGTCAGGTCTCCTTTGTCGGGGTCTATCTGCACGTCGATCGATAGTACTACCAAGTTACATTCCCGAATGTTCATCTCGAAATGGCACTGGAAATCCTCGATTCGACGTCTGCCCGAGAAAAGGTGCAGCAAGAACATAGCCGTAGTAACCATGGGCCTGCACGGTGAGAATACGTTTGCAGGTGGCGTCGCTGTTTGGACGTCCGCTGCTGCAGGCGGGGCCGGCGAGAGTTGGAGCTGATGCTGCTCTATGTAGTCGGCCAGCTTGAGCTGTGTGACCTGTTGGGCGGGCACCAGCGCCTTTGTAGCTCCATGCCCCATTGCCTTCCTCGCCGCCACAGCTTCTCGTTCTTCTTCTCGGCGTTCGGCTGCCTCCTGCAAATCCATTGGGACTTCGATTGCTTGGAGGGCCGCCAGGCATTTGGGGCACCTTCTCAGGTGCTTGAGTATGCGCGATCTCGTTATGAAGTTCTTCCCGCACCCAGGGCAGGTAGTCGAAAGGGCAAGCAATTCGGGAAGGTCGTAGCCGATGTGTTCCATGGTGCGATGGCGCTTCCATGCTCCCCGAGTTTTTAATATCTTGCCACACTCATAGCATATGTAGCCACAGTGCTGTGCAGGCGGCAGCCCCTCGAAGTTGGGCGTGGTCATTCCAAACTCTTGCGCTAGACGGTGTAGCTGCCTTTGCCATGCTCGATGACGGTATATGTCGTGCTGCCATGCTTTGTACCTGAGCCACGCACGGGTGATCGTGGCTTGTGCGGCTCGCACATGCTGCGTGCGTAGCCATCGTATCAAGCCCCTGATGTCGCTGCCAATGTCCTCGTCGTCTAGTAGGAAACTTCTTATCCAGTCCAGATCTTCGACGATAAGAGCATTCCAGGCCTTCTCATCCTCCCAAAGTTCGTCGATGAGGCGGTGGAGGAAGGGCGTGTCTGCATGCGCCATTCTGGCCAAGTACATCAGGCGCCGTCGGCGCAGGTACATATGGATCGGTACTTCGTCACACATCAAGTATATGTCGTCATCCAAGGTATGTGCATGTCCCGCGCTGTGTCGCTGTTGTCTTGCGGCGGCCCGCAGGCTCGCCATGTGTCTGCTCTGCAGCATCTGCTTCTGCTGTACTGTAAGTGGTCCCCATGCTTCGCAGTCGTAGGTCAGCTTGCTTTGCGCCAGCGCCGTGAGATACAACAGCTTGGCCTTGAGGTCGATGTGCGGCAGGCGGAAGATGGGCTTCTTCAAGGGGCCCTCTGCGGATCTGTGGTCTATGATGCGTCTCATAAGGTTCGGCCCCTCCCCGCCATCACTTGTCACAATATTGCCCAATGTGAGTCCCTGGGTCGTGACCTCCGCCGTTGTAACTTCAGTGCTGGTTGGCGGCTGACCATCCTCGCGCAGCAGCGTGATGGGATTTGTCTTGAAAATCTTCGCCTTGATATGCTGTTTGGCGTGCCCATCAATATGCAGCAACGCTTTGTTCTTCTTGGGGTGCAGGTCATGCCCAAAGATCTTGAGTCTCCTTGCAATGATGGACAATATGTCGAAGATGCTGCTCTCGATTTTCGTGTTGTCGTTAAGTACGCACAGGAATGTCGCGTCGTCCATGAAGGATACTTCTGGCAGGGTCCCCTCCAGCCCTTGGAGCTGGCCTGACGTGACAATGGCTTGTTCGCCCGCCGGTGGTAGTTGTAGTAAGTACCCTCCTGAATGTAGCTCCTGCTCCAGCGGGCCCAGGGCGCGCGCGAAGCTGATGTTGAAGATGAGGTCGGCCAGGCCGTTGCCTGGGCGTGTGCCCTTGCGGCTCTCCGCGCAAAGCTCCTCTCCCCGCACTTGGAAGAATGTCGTGCCGTGCGCTTCTTCTAGCTGGAATCGCAGGTTCTCGTCTACATCGTTGAGTGCTAAGTAGCCTGGTGACGCGATCAGCTGCTGGATGGCCGGCATGAGCCATTCGGGTGGGGCGCCTCCTGCCACCACCTTTAGGAGCCAAGGCTTCTCCCTTTCCCGTCCCAGCACAAATTCTCGAATAACCGAATAAAAGGCCTGTCGTAGATCCAACAGGATGCCGACTGCGCTGAGACGTCTCCGCCTGCAGATCCTGAAGAACGCTTTGATAGTATGGGTGGAGTACGCGCCTGACTTCTTCGGGATTCCGCCATGCTGGGTGACTCTCAGCAGGCTGCTGCAGACCCTCAACGTAGTTGCGCGGAGCCACTTGTGGTAGTGCTTGGCCACGGTGTTGTTGAGGAGGATCGACCTGTAATATTCCAG